GCACCTCTGCCCTTGCCTCCCCTCCGCGCCCAGTTACCAGCTACCAGCTAGTAGTAGTATCTTTCTCAGTAGTATCCTCTCCCCCAGTGTAAGCCATGAAAATCCGTAGCTTGTCCCCCGGCACTCGCGCGTCCCTCGCTCACAGCCATCTACATTGCCGGTCCTGACTCTCCCCCGTCGCGCCTTTCCTTCACCTTCCCCCTCGTCTTTCTCCCCCCCCGCTCAAAACTGCACAGCCGTCCACCCGCCTCCTCCTTTCCTCGTCGCGCAATGGCGTATTTCCTGCCGTGGGGCGCACGGCAGCAGCCGCGAGTTGTATCCCGAGACACGCAGCGGGGCACGTGCTCTCGCGCGTCGCGCAGGTGCTGATCCTACTCGCCGTCTCACCGTGGTCGCGTGGTGCGCCTTGGCCGGGCGTGATCCCAGCCTCTCTACTCTCTCGCGGTTGTCCCGTCACATTAGACGCCGCCACTTTTAACAGCGGTAGCAGCAGCAGCAGCATCAGCAGCAGCGGCAGCAGCAGCGGCAGCAGCAGCGGCAAGCAGCACGGCTGCAGCAGCGGCTGCAGCAGGGCAGCAGCGGCAGCATCAGCAGCAGCGGCAGCAGCAGCAGCAGGGCGGCAGCAGCAGCAGCAGGGGCGGCGGCGGCGGATATTCCGTCGCTGTCCCCGCCATGGCTAGCAGCAGTGGCGGCGGCGGTGACCAGGAGCTCGCCCCACCCGCCCCGCCCGCCTCCATTCCCGGCTCCCGCCTCACTTCCCCTGTCGCTGTTCGCACATTCTTGCGCCGATTCGCATGCGTCAACGAGAAGGGCACGTGGAGCTTGACAACACGCCACGTTTGTTGCCGTGGTCCGTCGCAGGCGAGTATGGCGGGTGGCAGTGCGACGGGAAGTGGCTCATGGACGATAGAGCCGCGCGCACCACCCATCATTCCTCGCAGCTGTTCCGAGCGCCGGTACAAGCCCCCCCCGTGCCGCCAGCGCATCCGCCAGTCCAACGAGTTCGCCGCTAGGCAAGCTCCGCCTTTCGCGTCGTCGTCTTTCCCGCCTCGCAAATTGCTTTCCGTCGACGACCTTTCACCCATGGCTGGCTCTGGTAGCGCTGCTGACGTGGACGATGAGGATAGGGATGAAGCAGCAGCCGTGGATGAAGCTCTTTGCCCAGCGGTGAGCCAACAGCAGCTGATACAACCCCCAACGGGAATGCGCCCTCCGCTGCTGCCGGTAGCATCACGTTGGCCGAAAGACGGCAGGTGACCGCAGCAGCAGCAGCGGCGAGTACCGGCACGTGGCGTTCGCGGATGCGAACAGGGTGGTGAGGGAGGGCAGGGCGGAGGAGTGGCAGGTGCGGCCCTCGGTCAAGTACAGGTGGCGGTTGCCCGCAGGCGGAGCGGAGGGGGAGTGTGGAGTGGCGTGGAGGGATGTGAACTGCGCCGCAGCTGGCAGCGGGGCTGACCAAGGGCGGGGGAAGATTCTCCTGGCGGGCGATTCGCTGAGCTCGCTGACCTACCTCTCGTTCCGCAACCACATGAGGATGTGCTCCGAAGCAGGGGCTGCGGGCGGCTGGGCGACACACGCAGGGCACACGGGTAGCGCTAGCGTGACTAGCAGTAGAAGCAGGGCTAGTGGCGATTCAGGGGAGGGGGCTGGTGATGACAGTTTCGCCAGAGGGTCGAATGGCGAGAGTGACAATGGCAAAATCGCTAGAGGAAATGGAGCGATGGTGAGTGATGACATGAACGGGCCGCCTCTGCCAAGCGAGATGGAGGAGTCAAAGTTGGCCGTGTGCACGGCAGAGGTTGAGCAGTCGGTGATGCGCAACATGCACAACCACGTGCTGTGCGACTCCGTCACATACGGCAACACCACCGTCACCATCGTGCGCAATGAACGTGCTCCACACCAAGCACGTGCGCCAGCTCAAATTCCCTAAAATGATCTCCTTCCCCTGGTTCAAAAGCTGTCCTTCCTGGGAGTGGCACTGCCGTGCTTGTGCTGAACCGCGGTGCTCACTATGTCGAGGATGAATGAGTTCACAGAACAGCTAAGCGTGACACTTACCAAAGTGCGGGAGGCAGCACCGGAGCTGTTGATTATCTACAGGAGCACGCCTCCTGGGCATGTTCACTGTGAGAACATCACTGCCCCTCTGAAGGAGCCGCAGGACCCAGCGTCGTTGCCGTTTCATTGGGGGACTTTGGCAGGCAGAACAAGATTGCGAAGCAGATGGTGGAGGCTGTTGAGGCGTGTTCATGGATGTAAATCCAATCACCGTTTTGAGGGGGGATGGGCACATGAGTCCTCCACAGATTTGCCTTCACTATTGTCTTCCTGGCCCACTAGACGCGTGGATACAGCTGCTGTACAATATGCTGCTTGAGTTGGTATAGCTAGGCAGGCTTTCTTTGTTGCTGCCCCGGCATGCGCATTGTACCAACGTTGGCTCAGTTTATAGTGTTGCAATGGTTACACAAATAGATGGTTTCTTGTGTTAACGTAGAAACGAATGATTACTAGAGGTGGAAACCTAGAACAAATACTAGTTGGTTGTACTCACTAGAAGCATACCTCAGTCTAGCCTATAACTTCTACATAGATAATATGTATAAGTTGACACACCCCCTAGGCTAGACAAGGGGTGAAACTAAACAAGAAGCAAACAGCTCAGGGCGGCACTACTAGTCCAACCACTGAGGCAGGGGTCTGGAGACCAGTCAGCAAGAATACAACCAAAACTGAAGCAAGCCAGGGTGGCACTACTAGTCCAGCCACTGGAGGTAAGGCCACAAGGCCAGTCTGACAAGCATATATAATAGAGAGTACACAATCAGGATCCTAACAGGGGAGCAGCTATAGGAACAAGACCAAGCTGTACACAGTGCCGCTGATGATCTTTAGGCGCAAGCGCCTTAGTAAAGATATCAGCTGTGTTGGCACCTGAGGCCAAGTGAACTACGCGGGCCTGGCGGCGCTGCTGTAGCTCGCGCAGGAGGAAGTACCGCAGCTGGATATGCTTCGCTCTGCCCTCAAGCCGAGGCTCCTGACACAGGAGTATCATGGCCCTGTTGTCAGCGTACAGGACCGGGGCAGAGCTAGGCCGCTCACCTAAGTCTGTGAGCAAGAAGGTCAGCCAGCGGAGCTCCTGTGCCGCCATGGCACCAGCGTAGATCTCAGCCTCACAGCTAGACTGAGCCACAGACGACGAGCGAGTGGATCTCCAAGAGATAGCACCCGAACCAAGGCTGAAACAGTAGCCCTGCGACGACCTGAGCGTCTCAGCGTCGTCTGCCCAAGAAGCGTCTGTGTGCCCAGTAAGGACCACTGGCCTGCGTCCTCCTAGCACTAACCCCATGCCTGATGTACTAGCAAGATAACGCAAAACCCTCTTAGCGGCAGACCAGTGCTGAGGTCGGTGTCTGCCTGTAGCCACAAAGCGAGCCAGGATGCTGAGAGGGTATGCGAGATCTGGGCGAGTGCAAGTCATCAGGTACATGAGGCAACCCACCAGCTCTGCGTAGGGGCCACTGGGCTCTACTGGCTCCTCAGGAACGGGAGCAGAGAGCCCATGGTCTACGGGTAGAGGTGTGGGCTGTGCGGAGGAGAACTGAAGACCGAACCTCTGAAGGACCTGACGCACCAAGTGTGACTGGGTCAGAGTGATGGTGCGTGCTGCTCTGTCCCTAGAGATCTGCAGGCCAAGATAGCGACGCAGCTCTCCAAGGTCAGTGCAGGTGTGTCTCTTCAGCAGCTCAGCCTTCACAGAGGCCAGTGCGTCCCTGTCAGGAGTAGCGAAGACCAGGTCGTCTACGTAGACAAGGATGTAGAACGGAGTCTGGCCGGAACGCACAAACAGTGAAGGGTCAGCAGAGGACGGAAAGAACTGCAGGTCTGCTAACGTGGCACGTAGCGTGTCGTGCCACTCGCGGGGAGCCTGACGCAGGCCGTAGACCGGGCGCCTGAGAAGCCACTGGGTCCCAGGAGGGAAGGTACCAGTGAAGCCCTGTGTCGGCGCAGGTAACCTGCTCGTGTAGGCTGCCCTGAAGAAAGGCAGTAGAGAAGTCGGAGGGAGTGAAGCTCGTAGTCACGCTGTGCTGCTACGTGTAGCAGCGCCCGAAGAGTGGTCATCTTCGGGGTCGGGGCGAAGGTCTGGAAGAAGTCAACCCCCTCCGGCTGACTGAAACCTCTGGCCACGTAGCGCGCCTTGAAGACAGGCGGCTCTCCAGGGGGCGCTTCACCTTGAAGAGCCACCGACCATCGACTACGTTCACCCCAGGCGGGGGAACTGCGTCAACGTAAGTGCCAGTGGATCTCCAAGATGCCATCTCCTGCTCCATGGCAGCTATCCACTGAGAGGCCCAAGGTCCCGAGGTGGCCTCAGCGTAGGTGCGAGGGGTCGGATGTCGAAGGCGTCTGGGTCACCCTCAGGGACTAACAGCATGGAGCAGAGATGGGAGCAGCCTCGGAAAGGAAGCCAGCTCGTACTGCCTGCTCCTCTAGGACGTCACTGCCAAGGGCAGGAGCACCCCCGGACAGAGGACGGGCAGGGTCAGAGACCAGAGCGGTAGCGTAGTCAAGGCGGCGGGTAGAAGCGAAGTCAGCGACAGCAGCGACAAGCGCGTCAAGGCGCGAGACAGGAACAGCAGGGTCGGTAACAAGAGAGGCAAGGACCCGAGGGACAAGGGGACGAGCAGCACGGAGGTAGTCAGAGAACGGAGGAGGTGCAACAGCAAGGGACGAGGGAGGAGGGGACGGGAGGAGGGGAGGACGAGACGAGTGGGAACGGAGCAACATAGGGTGGGTGGGCAGGACAGGAGAGACGGGACGAGCACGGGAGGGACGGCGAGCCCAAACGTGAGACGGAGGGGTAGGGTCAGGGGACAGCGGAGGAGACACAGGAGGGGAACGAGGAGGAAGACGGGCCGGAGACGAGTCTGGCGGCGGGAACACAGGACCGTAGACAGGGAGGTCAGGAGGCGGTGGGGGAGACACCGGCGCGCGGTCCGGGGAGGGAAGGCCGAGCAGGCGGAGAGCGGAAACCGGCGGCGACGGCTGCTGCGGCGGCGACGACGGCTGGGCCGGAACTCTCGGACCAGCAGAGGCAGAACGACCGTCGGCAGAACACTCAACAGCAGCACCCCCAGAACCAACACCCCCAGAGCGAGAACCCCCTCCAACACCAGCGGCACCCCCAGAAGCCGCAGGACGAACACCCTCCTCCACACCAGCACCCCCAGGGGCCGAGAGCAGCGGCGGCAGTGGCGGCAACGGCTGCGGCGGCGGCGACAGCGGCGACGGCTGCGGCAGCGACAGCGGCGGCGGCGGCGACGACGACAGCGGCGACGGCTGCGGCGGCGACGGCGACGGCGGCGGCAGCGGGGTCGGCGACTGCGACAGTGGGGGCGGAGGCACCGGGGAAGGGGGACGCGGCAAGGACGGACCGGGGGTACCACCAGAGTCAGCAGACTCCTCAACGGGGACAACCGACGGGAGGGGAGTGACGTGGGAGACACCAGACGGGGCAGGACGAGGCGGGAGAGGGGCAGGGGCTACCGGGGGAGAGGGAGCAAGGAAAAGGGGGGGGCAACTGGGAGACCTCGGTGAGGGAAGCGGCGGTAGAAGGAGACGGACTCGTCAAAGGTGACGTCACGAGAGTGGAGGAAGCGGTGAGACGGCGGGTGGTAGAAAAGCCAGTCAGACGAGTCCAGGGGGAAACCGAGGAAGACACAGGGGACAGTGCGGGCAGTGAGCTTGTCCGTGCCAGAGGCACGAACGTGAGCAAGGCAGCCCCAGACGTGGAACGCAGACGCGTCACCGGGGGACCCGGTCCAAAGGAGGGTCGGCGAAACCTGCGGCCGCTGGGAGCGTGGCCACAGGTTAAGCTGGTGAGCCGCGTAGCGAACAGCGAACGGCCACAGAAAATGGGGGGCATCGGCATGGATCATGGAGGTACGGGCGACCTCCATGACCAAGCCGATGCGGCGCTCAGCAACCCCATTCTGCTGTGGCGAGTCCGGCAACGTGTACGACTGGGTGATGCCCTCCGCACGACAGAACTGTCCAAGCCGACCAGAGGCGAACTCGCCGCCACGGTCGGAGTGGAGACACAACACGGGGAGACCGCGGTGGAGACGCGCAGCCACAACCCACGGGAGAAGAACGTCGGGCACGTCGGCCTTCCGCTCCAGGGGAAACACCGTGGTGTAGCGCGTGTAGTCGTCGACAAGCACAAGGAAGTAGCGCTCACCGCGCGGTCCGGGGACGGGGGCAGGGCCCCAAACGTCCAAGTGCAGGGTCTGAAGGGGGGCAGTAGCAGGACGCAGCGAGGAGGAGTGAGGAGCACGGCGGAGCCGACCCTCGACGCAAGGCGTGCACGGTGGCGCAGTCGAGGGAGGAAGGGCAGGGAGCGACGCGGGGAGACCTAAGACAAGACCGTGCTGGGACATGTGACGCAGACGCGGGAGAGCAGGGTGACCTAAGCGGTGGTGCCAGAGAAGGGAGGGGTGAGTGAGGGACCGACACGAGCAAGCTGCAGCGACCTGGGAGGACGCACCAACCGGGGGGAAGCGGTGTGTAGGGTAAACAGACCGGACACCGGGTCCCGGGGGAACGTCGCAAGGGGGGAACCTGAGACAGCCTCAGAACAGACAGCGAACCGCTCGTGCCCGGGGAACGTGGTGGTGACGCCGAGGTCCTGGAGACAGCCGACACCAACCAGGTTCCTGGAGAACGAGGGAACGTGGAGGCCAGTAAGGGAGCCCGAGGGAACTGCCGGACAGGGAAGGGACGTAGAACTGCGCGCGACGACCGGACCCGCAGAGGGGTCAGCGAGAGAGACAACAGCAGGTGCAGCAAGCGGCGTGAGCGTGGAACGGTCGCGGAAGAAGCAGGCAGAAGCACCAGAGTCGAGAGTGAAGGACAGCGACGCAGTGGCGGAGGCCGGGACGGAGCCGGTGCAGCGACTAGACTAGGCAACCTAGGCAGTCCTACGCCTGTCGCAGCAGGGGAAGCTAAGCTACACAAGGGTGAAACACCTAAACTAGAGTACACAGGGTAGTAAGATCCATCAACACTAGAAGCGTCAGCATACAAAGCATGCAAAGCAGCACCTATCTGATCCATGTCTAACTCAAAGATCGGCACGCCCTGGCGGAGCAGGCTGTGCCAGTCAGGGAGGTCCGGGGCCGGGCC